AGATTTGAGACGATAGATGAGATTCAGGCAGAATCGCAGATGGTGCTTGACAGGCTGATAAAGAAAGATTTCCAGGGATGCTTCCAGGCTTGGCAGCGGCGCTGGGATCGTTGTGTTCACTCCCAGGGGAACTACTTCGAGGGTGATGGATGAATTTAATACCTGAGATAAGTGTACGGGTTTTTATACGCGCAGTCTGGAAACCTTTCGATCGCACCTCGTAGATGAGTGAATAATATATGAAATGTGTATGAAGGAATCTGGTCTCTTGAATTTCTGAAATAACAGAGTTATCTTGTTTATGTGTACATGTCACAGAGTTTCTACACTAGTATATTTTGTGTGAGTTTTATATATAGTATAGAGGAACTTACTGCATTTTTGAATGAGTGATGGCATGTAGAGTGGTGCAAAATCAGAGTGAAAATTTTTGTGGGTATATTTTGACATTTTTTTATGCACTTTTGGCTGTGGTAGTTGGCATTTTGCAGAGGATATTCTTATGACTATAGAGATTCTGTTGATGGAATATTTACAAAGTGGCTACATTTAAATTAGTGGGTGACTGTGTGTTTAATTTGTGTCTCATGAGTTTGTCTTATACCTGAAATAATGTTTTTTGTTGCAGGAAATACATGAATTAATTCTTTATATGCTAAAAGTGAATCCAATGGAGCGGCCTTACATTTACAGTGTTATAGAAAAGACTCATGATATAATCTCAGAAATAGAAGGCAAGGCATAAAATAATGGAACTGATGACAAAATGGATGATAAGCATTTTTAAATTTGGAGGATTGCATGTTGGTGGTCCATTTTCCACAAATATTTGTTTGGTAGTCTCAATTTCTAGTTATATATCATTGTATATGGTCAGGTACAAGATCTCTCCAAGTAACGAATTTACTACAATTATTCATACAAACAAATTAAACTTCTCCTGACCTTAATATTTCAATAATTCAGTGGTGAAATATATCCCTTTATTTCGGTGGGTATTTTTATTTTAAATTTTTGACGAAATGGTCATAACGCAAGACTGATGTATTTAAGCATCTAAACTTTAACAATGTTTGCCATTTTTGCCCCATTTTGTATCATTCTGCAAATTTATTTATTTATTTATTTTTAGCATTTGTTACTCATCGACTATTCATATGGTGGTTCTTCTATTTAGCATGTTTAATGTTTAATTACTTTAGTGATGAGCTGGCTTAACTATGTCAGTGTAGTGACTGGCTTCATACTGGACAACCAAAGTTTTATCCCTGACGGGGACAGAGGGTTTTTCTTCTGGCCTCTGCATCCAGACTGGTACTGGGGCCTACCCAGCCTCCTATATAGTGGGTACTGTGGTTCTTTCCCAGGTTTAAAGTGCAGCTGGGGCATGATGCTGACCACTCACCCCATCTAGTGCCAAGGTCAAGAATGAATAGGAGCTATACAACCTCTCCCCCCATGTGCCTACATGGTGAATAGTGGGACAGCTTTACTTTTTACAAACTGAAGCATTTAAGTCACTTTGAATTATCAGTCTGCCATCCACAGTTTCCAAGTTTCACTATCAGCACAATTTTATAATGCATTTATATTAGTTCTACTCGTAACACTAGAGCATATGAAAACTAGGAACTTTTTGTATTTGCCACATGAAAGATTTAAGTGACCATGTGTTGTAGAAAGCTCTACAATTGTACCAAACTTAATCTTCAAGAAATTATGCAGTTCCATTTTATTTCCTAATTATGACTTTAGTAATATACAGGTGTCCCACCTAACTCTATGACCTCAAGTATCTAATGTATAATTAAAATGTTCATAGTGCCTAATGGTGTAAACACTAAGGGGTAAAATATTAATCATGGAGTAATTGTTATGAAGTTATTAAAGTTACCTTTTTTTAAATGGAACCCTTATTATTTTTAAGCCAGAATTACAGCCGAATTTGAGATGTATTCACAGAACACATTCATGTTTCTTGAGCCATTACTGTGATGTCACCGCTCAAAAGAATGGGAGAGAAATGCATCAGTATGTATTTACACTGAAAATAGTATTGTTCCTACAAAATTTACAGTAATAACTGTTTAAAGTGCTAACCATTGGCATCAGTACACTTTCAGACGCGTTGAATTAAGGGGTAATTCACAGATTGCCAAGTTTGAAGTGATAAAATAGCACATGCTGCAGTAGTGCATTGTTGCATCCCTTCTACTGTGGTTGGCGGTTCTTGATTAATTTTATAATGTGGTGTTCCCCTAAGAAAGAAAAGTAGCAAGGTTATATCCAGTGAATGTGGTGGCCATGAATACTTCATGGACAGTTTCCTGATCTTCGGATTGAATGCCATGGACCTGTGAGGTGGCTGTTCAGTGCACCTTGTAGGTGTGGGCTATATTGTTGGTTGTTTTGGTGATCCTTAATATCTTACATGGAATAGATCTATGTTACTAGCTAATAAATGGTAAGTTTTCATCAGTAATATTCTATAAGATTTGGTTATGCATTTAAAATAATTGCAGGAAATTGTCATTTTGTAGTCCATACTAAATTGTTTTAAATACAAAATGCATTGTAGGTCAACAAAGGATACCAAACACATGATTAATTAGTCTTTTTAAATGTTCCTGGAGAAGCCATACCTGCTAGCAGAGATCATTTACTTTTAGCACAACCACTGTCCATAGATACTTGCAGAACACACTTGAAACCAATTTGTTCCCATCTCATCTTCAGAAAATGTGGCACTGTGGAATGGACAACATTAGATGGTAGTGAATAGGTGTTCAATTTTAAAAGGTTAGATATTTTTTTGGGGATGAGTTTTGTTACCTTCCTATATTGTAATTGTCTCCCAGGTCCAATTTCATATTTGTAGTTCCTTTAGATTTCTGTTCATATTCAGGGCATCATACTAGGTTGGTGTGTCAACATATTCTCATAATCAGATATATTTAGTTGAACAAAATAAAATAGGATGTGTCATGTCAGAAAGCATAATGTAGATGCTCTACAGAGCTACAGTTACATCTGGGTGTATGGACATAAGAATTTAGTTTCTTTGAATCAGCTATTTTGTTGATATGCCCTTCTGCTTTGATGTTCCATTTCCATCTCTGAACAAAGAACAAAGATGCTGTCAGTTTCTGATTGGTGTAACTGATTTTCCTAGGGTTCCTTGTTTCGCTTTAAGCTAGTAAACTTGTCAGTTTTAGACTTTTAATGGATATACATATTTGATATTTGTTGATTGTCTACAGTTATTTCAAGTATGTATTAATAGAAGTGATAGCCATGATTAAAATATGACCGTATGAGTGATTCTAGTATATCAGAGGTTTTCCTTATATATTTTCTTGCTTCTTACATTATTTCTTAGACAAAAATAATATTTTATATCATATTTGTAGAATACTTTTTTAATGCAGTTGTTAATTGAGTTCCTTGTCACCATGGTATGACATGTCCTCAGGTGGACAGTGGAAAATGTTTCCAATTGTGGAGAGCAGCTGTGAACATATTGAATAAACAGTCATGGATAGCTGACCAGGGGTGGCCCACCAGCATAAGTGTTGAGTGGGGGCTAACATCATCCCACCATAAAGAAGTGGCATGTTACAGAACATTACACAGTTAATTATTAATGATCCTGAAAACTGCTGGTATCTCAGATGATAGCCACAGCCTGGTAGATATATATCTGTACTGAACTTGACAAACCAGGCTTGGTCAAAAACTAAGAAGACTGAATCTATGAAAACTAAGGTACTGTACCCACTGAGTGGAGTGGCTTGTGTTTAGAAAGGTGACTGGCTGTGAAAATAACTTTTATGCTGAAGCAATAATATTTTAAATGGTCAACTTACTGAATGCAGTTTCAAATAAATAAATGGAGTATTTAAAATGAACTAGTAATCATATAATTGTATTTATGTTCATTACTCACTAAGTTTAAAATATGTATGTTATTTTGCATTGGTTTTGAATTTACTTTATTTATTGTTTATTTAATGATGGTGATTTTTTCATAAATATTACAGTATACAGACAATAACTTAATTCTTTTTTGCATTGATGAGAATTTATTTATGATGTCAGTGGTTTGACTATGCAGTGTTGGATGTTAGAAAGATAAATTAATATGAATTCGAAAGGGTATATAAATAAACAATCATGGTCTTATTTAAGGTACTATTCTGGCATTTGCTGTAGGTTGTGGAACTTTCTCACAAAGAGAAGAATGGGCATTTCAGAACATGGTGCCGAATTGTAAGAGAAAGGAAATAACGAGGCTGGAGAAAACTATTAGGAGCTACATAATTTGTACTCTTCACCACTTGTTATGCTGGTGAAACATGGAAGGCATGTAGCGCATATGCAAGATATGAGAAATCCATACGAATTTTTGGTCAGAATATCTGAAGGAAAGAGGTCAGTCACGAGACCTGACATAGATGAGAGGTTAATATTGAAACATCCAAAAAATAGTCCGTGAGCTACTATAAGCTTCTCATGAACTGTTATCACTGGAGTGTGTGTTCATTTTGTATTTGCGACCGTACAGAGGAAGGACATTTGAATTTAAAATAAAGAGCAAAAATGGCCGTATATTTTAAACCATTCACGACTCTATCATGATAGCTCGTACAGCATTTCTCGTCTGTGTAAAAACTACCTGTGGCGGATCATGTGTACCTGTCTTTATTACTAACAAAATGGCTACAACACTGTGGATTTTTTAATTTCCGGTTTCGTGTGACTATACGTATGTAAGAATTAGTGAAACATTTAAATAGCTGCGTTATTCTGTAAGTGTATGGTGACGTAAAGATCTGAAGAAAGCATCGGGTCTCATTAATAAGGAAGTAAGTACGATGGGTCAGTCGTGTACGTGTTAAACTGCCTACATATTTTACTGGTTGTTGACATCATTCTCTTACGAAACGCTGTATAGCCATAAACTGTGCTTTTCCTTTCAAGTGAGCATCTAGACTGATCTCAATGTTGAACTGTGGTTGGAATTTGTTATAATCAAACGCTGTAGGTTTAGTGCTTGTCCACAATGCATGGATGTGCTCAATTTTGACAGATATCTAGAAAGTATTGTTTTGTCGTTGATTACGACTAAAATGAAAGTATCTGCTACGTGCATGTTACAGTGCCTCATTATAAAATTAAATAGTCCATAATATATATTCTGGTGGTTTTAGGTGACGTACATACTGCAGTTATTTTGCCCTTTATATTCACCATTTTGAGGTTATGTAGTGCTGCTTCGAAATGTATTTTGTTCATTTTATGTAATTTCCTGATATAATGTATACTTATGCTGTCCCTTACTATTCTGACACGAAATTTAAATTTTGTAATATTTTTATGGTTTGAAAGTTATATAATGTACAAGAAATGCAATAATGTCAATAATTTTTAATAATTCTTCGTAATGAACATGTTTCGGCATGTGTCATCATCATCATTTCAATATTCTCATTATTATCGTTTGTAGTGGGCAACATAGAAAATTTTCAAACTCAGTTTTCCACAATATAAGTATAAATTCAGTCAGTAGTGACTGGCTATGGACTGCATGACCGGGGTTAGATCCTCATCAGGAGCAGAGGATTTTTCCTCTGGCCTCTACATCCAGACCGGTTCTTTCTTGGGGGTAAAGCGCAGTAGGGAAGTGATGCTGACCACTGACCCCCATTCAGTGCCAAGGTCAAGAATGAGTAGGAGCTATACCACCTCTCCCTCCAAGCTCCTATGTGGCCTATAGTGGGATAGCTTTACTTTACTTTTAAGTACAAGATACAGATATAACCTTTATGTGCGAAATACTAACTTCAGTAAATATCAAAAAGGAACTGAAATTAAGCTATTCAGTAATCTTTCGTCACTGTAAAAAGTCTGAATTATGATACAAAGAAGTTTAAGCCAGCACTAAAAGATTCTCTTATCTCTCTCTCTTACTGATAGAAGATTTTACCTCTACCAGAAATTCTCATCTATTATAAATATAAGTAAGCAATTGTGGTTATGTTTTCTTGTGCAGTTATTTTTGTGGCAGTACTGTAGTTGACTGTAATTACTGTCATAACTATGTAATTTATATTTTAATTAGAAATAAGTATTGTATTTGCCCTAGAAGATGTTCTACATCCTCAGCTTGGGCCTATGAAGGATCTATGGATTATAAATACATTCTGTTCTGTTGTATAATATAGTCAGACAAGTTACTGTTGCTGCTATGATCACAGTGTTGCTAAGGTTCATGTCTAATGAACTAATAGTATACATTTCTATACTTCAAGTAGTTTCAATTTAATTGATTTATGTATGCTATGGACATGATTGTATGAGACACGAACCATAACAGTATTATGATTGTACTGGCAAAGATAAACTTGTAATGTTACGTAACATGTTGAAACACACTGATGATAACACATACGATGAAATGTGTGCTACAGAGTATTATTAAAAATGATTAGTGTTAAAGTGTTTATAATGGGTAGTATATATAATGAAGCTGAAGCCAGAACAGGAAAAAATTATATATGCCAAGTGCCAGGTCAGAGGTGAATCCCCTAACTTATGACTGAGGGAATGATATTGTGATATGATAATGCACCATGGAGATGTTTGCAATTAATCTAGCTATGTATTCGTATTTTTGTTAATTGTACTGCATATATTACACAGTATAGAATCAGAAATTATTTTTCCATATATTTTATTAACTTTTCACTAGCCAATATCAACAAGTGTGAAATTATAGGTTTTGTATGCATAAATTACTTGCAGGTGTGTATATACACACATGTATGTTTCTTTAAAGAGTATAATTTGAGTATCACATAGAGTTTACATTAGAATGATATAAACCAAAGTTACGTTTCTTAACAGATTTTCTTGTAGACCTGAAATACCAAATTAAATCAGACTACACAGTGCAACAACCCAGAAGACGGAAATCTTCAAATTGAATCTTGTTTGTTAATTTTAGAGATGAAACTTGCAGAAGGACAGACATAAACTTTCCTGTGATGTGTTCAGAATGTGCAAAGAATTCTTGCCAAAGAGACATTCTAGAAAGATAGAAATAATATGTACGTATAGAGTCTTGGAAAATATTTTCACACGTATGCGGACCCAGGCCTCTGTCCAAAGGTCAGCCAGGGCCTGGTAGCACAGATAATATAGTTAATGTTCGGGCTTGGACATGGCTGAAATGATGGCAGTCAAACATTATACTGAAAATTTCTGGTTTTCTCAGGCCATTCTTTTTTCGTCAAGAAAAATTTTCAGTAAGATTTGATGTTCTCACGGCAGTGAGTACGAATATGGCTGTCTTGTGGGTTGTAGAGCCGTATAGTTTAGTAGAAAGTTGTCAGTGTTTCAGATGTCCTTGCTGCCTCATTCATCAGGGTGATGAAAATTATTATTCACAGTTGCACTCATCTTATGCTCGTGATATGAAGATAATATCAGCAGGTTCTACAGATGTAATGTATAATTAGAAGCAACATGATACATGTTTTAATCGCTGCCAGATATTGGAAGCCAGTTAGCATTAATAAGTCTACGAATGAAGTCATTGGTACAAATAGTGTGATAGTCTGAAAGCTATTTCGTGTTTTGTAAAGTTATCCCGTGTGATACTTTCCGGTAGGAAACAAGGAAACGATTGAATCAGTCACTCACAAGGAAGATTCCGAATTGTCATTGCATCGGAAGCAGTATAATTGATAAATGTAGTACTAGTTCATTATTGAAGGCCATGTCAATCTAGAGATTCTCATGATTGTGCTTAAATTTTATACATACACGATCAGTTTTCTACCCTAGATTTGTAGTTCCCAGAAAGAAAACTTCTGAATTTTAATGAACTTCCACAATTTGGATTTTCCTTTGACGATACCGTGATTGACACATGCTTACTTGTAGGCAACCGCAGGATATCGGTGTGTATGTGGTAAGGTTGTTTTTTCCTACCGAACTACCCTGTTACCTCAGTATCCATTCTAATATCCTCCCATTTGTTTCAGTTTTCAGTTTGCAGTTCTCTGTTCTGCCTCCAGACTTTGTAAGCTGCTTTGCCACATTCATATCATAGTCCATGGTTTGGTCATTATTTTACTTGGAGAAAAGTAGGCCTACAGATTATGATGCTTGTCATTATATTATTTTCTTAATTTTCCTGTCACTTCATCATTCATAGATCTTGCCCATTAAGTACTACTGTCATACTGGACTTTGATGCTTTGGCCTATAAAACGGTTTGTGCATCATGTTTGAGCAAAGTGTTCTTAAATTTGGCTAAATACTGAGTTGTACCAAATATTCTAAATACATAGGTTTAATAAATAAGTTTGACAAGCAGTAAGTTGTCTTCTCACATTTGTGTGCCTTGTTTCCAAATTCTTTTGGGAAGGCAGTCAAGTATTATTTTTGTATTTAAATAAATGCAATTTGTTCACGAGTATTAGGGTTCATGACGTGGAAGCATTGCACTATCTGCCAAACTGTTAAGTGATTGAGGTGTTTATCAGCTATTGAAATTGTTGAATTTTTAGCAAACAGTTGCCAAAGAGTTGTGATAAGATGTTCTTTTTTGTTACATAACTTAGTTTGTAACAGCCTTCATTAATATTAATGGATTCTCCATGATGTGGGAAGAAGTGGAAGTTAAGATACTGCATGTTTCACAAAGCGGTGTTGTCATTGTTCTGCAGAGATGGATAAAGTGCAAACAGAATTCTTTCTCTCAAGAGTCACATCCATTATTGTCATGGCCATCTTTGTCTTCCTTCAAGGCATAAATATAAGTTGTCGTTATATACAGGGCGAGTCAAAAGTATGTTTACAAACTTTTGTGCGTATTCCAGGATCAAAAATAAGAAAAAATGTTCCTATGAAATGTTTCATTTTCGAAATAATAGCCAAAAATAAGTTTCAATTAATTTACTTTATATCAAAGTGAATCCAGCTTCCAGCAAAGATTTTCAATGAACGTTGGGGCAGGAATTGTTGGCGCATGCTTATTGGTCCACACATGCTTCCATCTCGTCTAAGAGGACCTTCACATCGGCGATTCTTAAGAAGACACTTGCCACGTCTCCTTGAAGATGTACCACTGAATACAAGAGGACGAATGTGGTTTATGCACGACGGAGCCCCAGCACACTTCACCCGTCACGTCGGAGATCATCTCAATGAACAGTACCCTTAGCGATGGATTGGTCGTGATGACCCAGTAGCATGGCCACCGAGGTCACCGGACCTGAAACCATTGGACTTTTATCTGTGGGGTCACATGAAGTCCGTCGTTCATGCAACACCCATAAACAATGAAGACGACCTAAGGGAACGTGTGCAGAAAGCATGCCAGATGGTTCGGGGAAACCCTGGTGTGTATGAACGAATTCGGCAGTCTTGTGTACGTCGTGCTCGTGCATGTGTGGAGAATGAAGGAACAACCTTTGAGCATCTGTTATAAAGAAACATCCCTGTCCTTATACTTGGCAATAAAGGCATTAATTTAAACTTATTTTTGGCTGTTATTTTTAAAAATAAGCATTTGCGACCCCATATTCATAGCAACAATTTTTTCTTATTTTTGATCCAGGAACACGCACACAAATTTTGTGAATATACTTTTGACTCACTCTGTATATGAATTAGGACAAATTATTATCGACTTTCTTTGCAGCTGTAGAAATCATTGACGTCGACATATGTTTCATCCGCCAGACGGTACTGTGGTACACATTGCCAACGCCTCGACATGTCAGTGAAATGAACGCTGTTGGCTGTCAAAGATCCCAGACTGCTTGTATATCATGCATGCCGAGTACGATTAGTA